AGAACCCAGGGAGATTTTAGGTGAGGAGGATTAAGGTAGACTTTGAGGTGTCACTGTAAGTCCAAGTTCCTGGATTTGAATCCTGGTTTTTAATGTCATATTCAAGCAATAGGGAAATCGCTTAATCTTCCTGAATCTGTTTCCTTACATGAAGAATGGGATAATAATTATATGTACATCTTAAAAGTTGTAATAATGCTCATTAAATATCAGGTAAAAAGGGTTCAGAACAGAGCTCCACTGGGGCCTAAGGTGAATAAGAGGTTACAGCCTCTGAAGAGCTCCATTAAACCATTCTGGTTACTGAGTAGCATTTAGTTTCACAAATATTGTCAGATGTCCACTACTTAATATTTGGTGAGCCAAATATTCTCTTCTTGGAGAAAGGGATCTTAAATTTGAAATAGTAACATTTGGATGCAATGAGAGCTGATAATTCTGCAAAAGCCTCTTTCCCTACCTAGAAGTTCCTGTAGAAATTTCACCTGAGCCAATTAGCACATAAAGAAGAATTTGCGAATACTCATGACCATCACCATTCATACTCTCCACCACCAAGCAGTCCATAAAACTTTCTACAGGAAGCAAAATCTCCAATATGGTGGACACTGGTCACATGCGAATGTTTACTTGAAGTAATGCTAGTCTGAACCAAAGTGTGCTAAAAGTGTTTGGTACACACAAAATTTCACACTCAAAATGAAAAAGGATTAAATTATTGCTTTGATGTTACACCAGTCATATGTTGAAATATAATATTGGATAAATAAATATAAAGTTGATTTCTTCTCTTTCAAAATGTAATACTGGAAAAATGAAAATCAAAAATATTCCTCACAATGTATTTCTAGTTAACAAGGCTAGATCAATAGCCTTCAAAGTTTCCTTCACATAAAAATTTAAAAATGTACCTTCTGCTTTTATGATTTACATGTATTTTTAAGATTCTAATTGTGAAAAACTTCAAAAGTGATTTCTGCAATTTTAGTTTCACAAATATCTTGAGTTTTCTCAAAACTTGCAGCAATATTTCACTCAATTTGCAAAAAAATACCCAACACAAATGGAAAAGCAATAAAACAAGACAAACCAGAAATTCTTTTTCCCTAAACAGTGCAGCTTGTATTGCTTTTTTCAGTTCAAAATAACCTATAACATGTCTCTCTTTCATGAACTGAGTTAGGTATATCATTACATATAGAAATAAAAATATATACAGAAATGAATGTTAGATACAAAACTATGCATATGAATACTTCTCTGAAGTTTATGCATCTATAAAATATTTCCCTTTAAATAATTTAGTGAAGATTATCTTCTTTGTTCTTAAAAATCCATTAGCATCTATGAATCTGAATTTTTCAAACATTTTCCAGAGATTATTTACATTCAGTGAAAATAATATACTAACACTGTAGCTAGGAAGGTAACACATGCCTTCTCCTGTAAACTAAAAAAGTGTAGAAAAGAAAGTGGTCGAAAAAAACAGATACAGACAAGATTTAATGTCTTCAATTCACACCAGCATCTACTGTTGAATGCGTTCCTTAATGCAAAAGCAATTAAATGAATAGCCAGTAATCAGTTCTATTTTTAATTTGTGGCTTGAAACAAACAGTCTATTTTTTTCATAAATCAAAGGCTAAAGAAACTTGTGGAATAATCATGAAGCAATATGAAATATGTATTACTATAAAATTGTAGCCATTATATTTTATTTTAGTGGAATTAATTTCAGTATTTAGAAATAACAGTAACAATGGTATAATTTAATTATAAGTTATTAAATCATACAATCAAATATGCAACTATTATATTTGTATTTAAAAAGTAAATGTCACAGGTGAAGAGATGTATGTTTTTTGACAAGATGATAACATTTAGTAATAAGATGTTAAGTGATCCTACTTTGTATAAGGAATTTAATATTGTATTTACTATCTAATCAGTGCAAAACCTTATGGCATTATGATCTAAATATTATATTTACTATCTAATCAGTACAAAACCTTACGGCATTATGATCTCTAATATATGAAAAATAAAAATAGTATAAGACTCAATGATTATGTATAAAATCAAATCTCATATTTTGAGGCAATAATTAACATATGCAATAGTTGCTCTGACTTCTTTCACTTTCAAATTTCAAGTATCTGTAAGCAGTCATCCACTTGCTTGGGAAATTTATAATGCTATGTGTTATGGTTTATGACTAGATGTACCCCCAAAGTCCCAGGCAGCCTCATAGTTTTTTCAGTGGTGCTGAATCTAGAGTCTGTATTGATTAGTCATTCAGTACCAGAATTAAAAGTGCTAAGATGAAGGATGGGTAATTGCTGGATCAATCCTGTGACAGGATTGGCACCACTCTAACCCCAGCAACCTGGATAGAGTACAAAAGGCGAGAAAGACACTATTAAGGTTTGGTTGTTGCTTTTACTGTCTATTCCTATGATGAATTGTTGCCTACGTGCCATGCCACCCTGCCTTGTATCCAACTGATTACGGACTGAAGCTCCATAAACTGTGTGCTAAATAAAATTTTCCTCCCCTAACTTTGGGCATCAAGTATTTTGTCACAGAAATGAGAAAAGTAACTAAGATTCTATGACTGCTTTAAAAGTAATCAAATGTGAAGATAAATACGAGCAGTGATAATTGAAGAAAATTATATATATCATGAGATTAAGGACTTTGTTGATTCACTAGGATTTAAACCAACTAGTAGAGCTGCTTGCCTATATTTTTTGCTGCCTTCCGAAAATGGTTTTGAAGTAGAAATCTACAGAAGCTAATACTCCCCAAAGTGTTTTTCAAATTATGTGTATATTAGTGCAACATGAAATTGATGCAATGAGGTGTGACCAATATTTAAAGCATCAATAAATTACAATTGATTAGAGTAAAATTATGCAGAAGTAGATTGATTTATTTAGTATGAGAAAATGTTCTCTGCGTATGTAACTCTGTGTGTATGTAACTCTGTGTGTGTGTGTGTGTGTGTGTGTGTGTGTGTGTGTGTGTGTGTGTTTTAATGGGCCCACTACATAAAATATACTTCTTACTGAAGGTGATGGTTAAATATTACTGAAATATTTCTATAAGACAACAGGGAAAAACAAATAGGTCAAAGGTTAATGTTCACATTCCTTTGTTTCATAAACTTTGCAGGGAATGAAATTATGTGTTTCTTAGAACATTGGTATTTTTGAGAGGAGAAAGTGAAAAAAAAATTTGCAAATTAGTAAAAACCATGACAACCTTTTTGAAACTCAATTTAGTTCGGCAATGAGACTTATTTAAATTTTTTAAACTTATTTAAAACTATTTAATACCATATCTTGATAATTATAGCTAGCTGTCAGAACACAAAAATATTTCTTTGTAAGTGTAAGTTTAGTGAAGCATTTGTTCCATAATTTACCATGGATTTATTTCATGCTTATTTTAATTATAATGAAACATATAATGAAACATCTCTTAGTGTGAGATGTATCTTTGTGCCTATACTGCATCTTGTAAATATGCAGCTCTGACTTTACATCATAAGATCTTAGACAAGGTTTCTCTGTTGTACACAAGTAGAAGTATCTCTTTCATAGGTATCTTATAATGATAAAATAATTTATAAAAATAGTTTTAAAATGTGCTGAACATTCCATAAATATGAGCCTATTGTTCAAAGTCTTATTTTTCATTTTTCAACAACCAAAAACTTGCAAAAAATTTGTTAAATTATTATTTGTTGCCTTATTTGAATTCATGACATAGGTTGTATGAACTGATTGATTTCTTTTCTGTGACTGAGGGATTTCACTTAATGAATTTTTCAAATTTATGAAATCATAGATTTCTATCTACCTTTATTGGTTTGTTTGCTTGTTTTTCAAGTTCACCAACCAGAGATCTTCTAAGAGCTAATTTAATTGCCCAGTGAGTAGATTTTAAACCAAGCCCATTGCAGGTAGCATCAGACTTCAATAATTTAATGGAAATCACAAATATTTCTAGGAAATAGTAGATACATTCTTTGACAAAACTCATGTAATATATTCCAAGTATGATGAATTGGTTTGTATACCTTATCTTACTTGCTTCTCAAAACAATCCTTAAATTCATATCTCTGTTATTCACATTTCAGAGATAAAGAAACCCAACTAGAAGGTTAAAGAATTTAAAATTATCAGGACATTATAAATTAGTGTGTGAGCCACAATCTGAACCAATTTTATGAGCTTTACCACTAATATTTTCAAAACATTAAACCAAAGAATATCTCACATAATCTAAGGAGCTGAGAGAAATTTAGATTTGACATATTTGACTTTTTCTATTGGTATAAAAGTAGAGCCCAAGTAGAAGCAGGACAAAGCAGATGAAAAACATTTTTTTTCCTATGGTTCTTTTAGTCATTCAGTGCTACCAATTTGTTTGAAGGATCTTGGCACTTACATATTTAAAGGTATTAGTCATCTTAGAATCAAAGCGAAAGATAATGAGGCTTTTTGATATATCTACAGTATGTGTCCTCCATTAATGCAGGATGAATTAGCTATTTCTGATAAACAGTTCTGTGCTCTTTGACAATAGAAAAAGAAACTAAAATGAAAGTTAGGAATGTGCAAAAAATGAACTATCTGAATGATGTGTCAAGCAAAAAGCTATCAAATGAAAAGTCATTATTCATGCCTCCTTTTTTAAAAAGAAGCTTATTATACACACAACCTTCAGCCTTCAAAGATGTATTTCATTAGTCATTTGTTTGCAATCTTAATGTTTTTTTTTTTGTAAGTTAGAAATGCGAGGAAAGGTGTGTTATTTTTATTGGTTCCAAATTTCTTATATAACTTTTTGTTTTATAAAAGGAAGAAGTCGAAACTATTGCTGAAATCATGCTTTGGTTACAAATTTTCTGTATCAATTTTTCCTCATGTTCTCTTCTCCTTTGTCTTTATGATTATGCTCTTTAATCACACATGAGTTTGCTTTTCCTTACCTTGTTTGCATTCACTGCTGTGATGACCCACACACACTGTGCATTGCTGTCGTATTGGAATGGGAAGTTGGGAGATGTAAAGGTGCCACTCGGTCCTTGAAGATTAGAGCCGCACGTTTTCACTGAAAGAGAAATTGCAATTTAAAAGCTAGGTATAAATCACATCCATGAAAAAGCCTAGGAATAAAATGCTTTTCAATAGACTTGAAAATCAAAGCTACACATCAAAAAAAAAACACATCACAATGTATCTTAGGGTTTTCTAATACCACATCGAAATTAGAGTGCTCCATGTGAAGAGTCACAAGCTTAGTATTTTCTACATTCATTGAAGACTAATTACAAATTAAGTTGTGAGACACAGTAAACTGTCCTTTGACTGTAAATTGGATACTTTAATTATAGAGAAATATACTTATCCAATATTATGTTAATAAAAATCTACAAAGAAGTAAAACTTTTAAGTAATTGAAAAATATTTTATTTCTATTTATTAAGTATTCAAGGACTCATAATAGCACAGCTGAGAGACATCAATATTAAAACCATTTTTTCTGCTGCAGAGCCTGTGAATTAGACAACTAAGACCATTAAAAAAAGAGCTATATTTAAACATGTTTAATGAATTCTCACAAAAGCTAAAAGCTTTAATGTTGCAATTTCTAATTACTTTTTCTGCTCTATAAGTATGTATATTAACTTGTTTCTTGATCACTATAAACGTCATACATGCCATTACTTTTGTGCCATTCTATTAACAATTCTACTCACATTATCCTTTTTTTTTTTTTTTTTGTCTTTTTCCTTTTTATCGGTCCCGGGGATCGAACTCACGACTGCCTGCTTCCGACTGCCTGCTTGCAAGGCAGGCGCTTATGCCACTGAGCTAAACCTCCAGCCCCCTTCATTATCCTTTTCTAGTTTCTACTTAGTACCCTCTTGCAAAGCATCATTCTATGCTTATAACATTTTTCTCTACATTTCCCACTTGCACCCTTCACATATTTCAACATAATTTCTGTTCTGATTTCAATGTTCACATTGCTCACACTCCGAGCAATGAGCTCCTAGTTACAAAATCCAGTGAACTCTTAATTTTTCTACATATTTGCTATTTAAGCAACAATGGAAAGTGCTAGAAATCTGAAATTTCTTGCCTTCACTTATGTAGTGCTGAACTCTACATTTTAAATAGTTCTGTTCCTTTTTCTAGTACTTTTTCTTTTTTTAATCTGACCATTAAGAAGCATAATTTTAAACAGATTTTATAGCCTCTTTTCTACTTAATGTTCTCTGAATAGTTAAACTAATTTACTTTTAATCATAGAGGTTCACGTCTGTGTTGACATCTCTTAAATTCACAACACCGTCTTGTTATCTGTCTTGGTTTCTAGATTAATTTTCTCTACACTGGATATTCCAGGTGATAATCTAGGAAGCCTTTAATTAAACAGTTTTTAATAAGCCCCTCAACTTCCCTACCATAAATATTTCTCCTCGGAAACATCTTAGGATTCTTTTTTTATTTTTTGCAATGTGTTTGTTTCTAGTCATTTTTACAACTCCATTTCAAGACCTCCAATTACTCTCTCTCTCTCTCTCTCATCACCCTCAGTGCTACTATATTTATCTTTCTAACACAAATATTTGAATACTTGGTTTCATGAAAATTTGCTATTTCCTGTCCTCCAGTGGATCGCAGCTTCTTTTCCAGTACAGTGCTTTGCATTTCACATAATCCTACATTTTACTTGTGTCAGAATAAATGCCCCCCCCCGCCCCGCTCAGGTCTAGAACACTCCATCTTAGACTTATGTGCAGTAATTATATCAAAAGCCAAGCTTATTAGTGCTTATTTCTGTAAGGAGGTTTCTAGTTCCTTCCCTGAGAACTCTGTAATGTGTCTTTGTATTCACAGTACATTATTTGGACAGCAACTAATGTAAATCTTTGATTTCTTGTAACCTGATACAGTACGCAGATAAGGAAATTCTAAGAAGTTTCTAGCAATGATAATTAAACAGCAATTGTAACCTAGTTTGTTTTAAGTAAGTTGAAATAACTTTCTTGTATTTATTACTTGGTGATTCTCTGGTATACTTTGGTTTTTAAGATATAAAAACAATTACGATTTTTTGAGAGCAAGGCCTTATCCCATTAACTAATAGTATATTATTTTCACAATTTATGCACATTTGCAACAGGAACAAATACTAGAGATCTTTGGTACAAATTTCACATGTACTGTAGACTAACTATTCTGTTGTTGTTGATAAAGAATCCAAACAAATAAACAGAAAAATGGGAAAATACTGTGCTGAAAATATTTTTATACAAAGATAGCAAAGAAAAACTTTAAATGACATGTAAAAATGACCTGTAAAATCTGCATTTTAGTTTTTCCAACTATAATGTCTTCACTATAGCTGAGTGAAAATCATAGTACCTACATCTGTACACTTATGCAATTATCCATATTTTACACTTTTGTCATCATTACAAGATAAAATTACTGAAAAAACATTAGAATGTCCAAGTATGTGAAAATTCAAAGTTTAATAAATACGTCTAATTTATTCTCCAAAATTCATTCAATACACATTCAAAAACAAGAAAAAAAATTGGGCTTTATACTCTTATAATAAAAATTATTTGTTCTTTGTCATTGGCTTAATATGTGAATACATTTTTATATCCAATTCTCTATACACAACATTATTATGGCTTCATATTACTCTTCATTGTTGCCTCTATTTTTCTTGCTCAGTTTTACTATTTGAATAATTTTACTCATTTCCTTGTTCTTTATCAATTTACAGAGCCTCAGTATAGTACCAATTTTAATCACTTTAAGTTTCCTACAAAATTTTGCAAGTTTTTTTTATTCGTTTTTAAGTTCTTAAGTTTTGTAGAAATTGATTTTTATCTTCAAGTATTTTTAAGTGAGTGGAAACGAGTCAGAATCATTGTTTATGTTGTATCGTTTATGTTTTGTTCAGAAAGTTATCTTCAAAACTAAGAATGAAATGTAATCTTTTATTATCATACATTCATAATTTTATTTTATTGTATTTAAATGTTTTATACCTGAACATTATCCTTGTATGATATGAGACAACGGGCACTTACAGTAAATATCACTTTATCCAATACTAATTAAGAACGGCTGTATGGTGTGGTAGTGCACGCCTGTAATCCCAACACTCTGAGAGGCTTAGATATGAGGAATACAAGTTCAAATGCGGCTTGCATAATTTATTAGAGCCTGTTTCAAAATTAAGAAAATAAAAAACAAAAAGGAATGGAATTGTGAAGATGCTAGGTTTAGTATCCAGGAACACAAAATTATATTATATTATATTTATTATGGTATATTTTATTACATTATATATATATATATATATACACTCAAATATAGTTTTGCATAAACAACCTACAAGTTAACAAAGGAGGCTTTATTTTTTGTATTGATTGATATATTATTCATCTTCTATGGGTAACATACTGTTTAATCATTTTAATATAAATGATACAAAGCTACTTTTTGTTCAATTTTATAAATTTCTTAATTATTTTTGGATATTTATTTTATCATGAAAGCTTTGTCTAATGTGTTATGGTAAAAAAATATTGTTATTTGAACTGAATTGTATTGAATTCACATATTATAAGGCTATAAATTAAAGTACTACAGCTACTATGGACATGAGCATGGACATTACTCAAAAACCATAAACAGAAATTTGACTTGCTATTTCCCTTTTGGTATCATCCCATAAGAGTTAAAGATAACATATTATGGTGACATGTACATACCCCTTTCATAGCAGCACAATCTGTAATAATTAAATCTTGGAAGTGCCCTGTATTTCCATCCGCAGATGAATGGATAAATAAAATGTGAGATTTACACATGACGAATTGTATCTCCCATAAGGAAGGGTCAATTTGAGTCGTTTGTAGGCAAATGCATGCATTTTGAGGCCATAATAGTTAGTGAGAGAAATCAGACAAAAATGGTAAATACTGAATGGTTCTATGAGAACCTAAAGAACAAATAAATTAAAGAGAAAACTAGGACTACCACTTTTGCAAATTTAAGAGAACTAAGAGATGAGAGAGAAATAAGGAAGTGGACGGGAGAGAGGAATAAAACAAGTAAAGATGTGCTATAAACACGTGCCAGATCCACACAAGGAATTTAATAATCATGTACTGAAAACATGAACTAATAAAAAACATTTAAGATAACTAATTGTCTACTCTGAAACAGACTTTTATCAAAGACGACAGACAAGACAAACAAATGTTACCGCAGCAGATGTATTGCAGTGAAGTAGCACATTTGGTAAATCAAGCACAATTGCTGGTTTATGTGCAAAGAAAATTGTTTTGGAAAGACATAGCTTTCAAACATAACAAGAAATGAATAAAATCAAAACAAGTTATTATTCAACTAACCATGAAAACTTTTGTCATTAAAAATAGAAGTTGTTTTAGGAAAGGCAATAAATTAGAAAAAAACTTGAAAAAGTTTAGCGAATTAGAAAAAACAAAATTGTCATTATTTAATTTTTGCTTGTTTATATTCAAGTGATATAATAATTTATCTATAATATAAAGATGCTATATTTAGTAATCCCAATAGTTGACTTTGAAGAAGATATACATAAGAAAATGAATATTTCTCTTCTATAGTAATAATTAGTAATTCAACTGAAAGAAACAGATTCTTCCCTGTGGAAAAATATGGTTATAATTTTGAAAATATAAAATGAAATAAAAATATATGGTGAATCATTAAATTTAAAAAATTACTGCAGTTGAACATACATCACCATTAATCTCCATCAAAATATCCCCTCATTTTTGGGCACACTATTTCCCATTGTTTTTACTACGGTCTCAAGAAATTCTGGAATATTCTTTTGTGCTTTCCTTCAGAGGTGTGATAAAAAATTTAGTAAATGCTGCTTCCAAGTGTCATCCAATGGAAAAGCAAGTTATTAAAGGCATTACCCTAGGTATTCATCTACCTTATTCACAGGATCTGGTACATGAAACTTTTGGTTCTTCTCCAAAATCAAAATGCTCACGAAAGGAAAATGTTTAGAATCATTTC